TCAAATTTTCATTATTAATTAACATATCTCTCCCCATTACATTTTTAACACTATCACATATCCTATGGTTCTGACACCCGATCCGTTTCAATTCGTGTTTAAATTGGTACTTATTATTAAACAAATATTATAAAGAAAATCATTATTAACACTTCGTTTTATACGATCAACTAATGTTGTTTTAAGAGCATTGTTATCATTAGCCTCGATGTTAAGCAAGTGGGTATAAAACTACCTAGATTTAGAGTCATTATGAAAAATCTGACAAATTAGATTGAGTTGAAATGTCGTCACTATGGTGCGGATTTTAGATATATTCATATTATGTAGTAATGGAGTTGTTTTACAATATTTATTTAAACCAATTGATGCTTTAATAAGCTTGCTTTAGTAGTCTCAAACTTTTGCATTGTAATGTCATTGACAATTAAGCATTGTCACCCATACACTAAAGTAGCATGACAATCTCCCAGACATGGATTTTAACATCTGTTGAGGTACTATTATGACATACAAACATTCCGAAGGAAAAAAAAAACGCTTTTTGGCATTTTCTAACCCTTTGACAATGTTTTGTGGACTTCAGATTATTTGAGAGAATAACGCTAAGGTAGGTCATTATTTCAATGACATTTATTTTGCACTCATTTAGAAACCATGATGGATCAGGGTAAAGAGCTTTTTTGCCAAATATAATACATAACAAAATGCATTAATTAAGCATATATAGTTTATTCAGGGAGTTTACTTTTTTTGCAGATAATATAATATAGTATGCGTCGTTTTTATTCTAATAGACTCTAAGTCCGTTATGATGAATAATGAGCGGAGTTCATTTTTCATCATTGAGAACAAAATCCAGGGTAACAGAATTCAAAGTATAAAGAAATAATTGTAGGCAGCTTTACTCTTGTGTTCTAACTGGCTTACTTTTTTATTTTATTTTTTTTATCAATAATCATACTGTTTATTTTCATTTGTTTTTAAGGAATTTCCGTGGTAACAAAGTACCCACTGATTGGAAACAATGTATCTTTAATGGTTTGAAAAGTCTTGAAACGTTGTAGGCCTAAGTTTTGGCCCTCTAATAATCTCTAATAAGCTGTTCTTGAACATTAATTAAGTTATGTGGCTCACTAACCAAATGTAAAAATTGTTTTACATAACTCAATCGATTACTTACATATAATATTGCCTGTGTTAAAGAACTAATAAAAAAAATAAAATTAAAAAAAATTAAAAAAAACGGATGTAACCAGATTTTAAACAAAATGTTTAAGGTACTCATGATAAATATAATTTGATTTATTTAAGTTTTTTGGAAATATATATCGATTTGACTCTTTAGTGCGGTAGGTTGAATGTGGTTAAATGCCATTTGTTTATGGAATCCATTCCTAACATTTTTGCCAGGGAACGTTTCTGGTTTATTCCTGCACAGTGTTACTCGTCCCGTTTCTACCCGACCGTTTACACTCTGCGTCTGTTCGAGACTCTGTGCAATCAAGTCATGAATTGACTGATTTATTGGTTGAATAATAGCATTAGTTAGACCGGAACTATATTCTGTACTGTACTTCGAAACTATTTGGTAATTATAGGCAGTGGCGTATCTAGAAGTCTTGAATTGGGGGGGTCTGATGGGGGCGCGAAGGCGAAGTGGGGGCTCTATGATCAGTTGAGGGGCGCTAATTCGCAAAATATTGTGATTTTAGGTGATTTTTAACTACTTGACCGTGATTATATATTTTTTTGGGGGGAAGGGGCGTGAGTAATTTTTGGGGGCGGGCGCCCCCCATGCCCTCCCCCAGATCT